GGGGGGGGGTTTACTATATTTTTGTATGAACAACGATAATAATAATAATGATTTATAATCAACTGCTAGAGAATATTTCTCTTGTGCTATCATCAGAAAAAAGTCTCTGACCTTTCCAACGAAATTTCAAGACAAAACAAGAGAGAGTTCAAGATCAGAAAATACACTTTAATTTAAAGTCATACTATCAAAGGGAAAATGTACACCTTTCAACTTGAGGAAAAAAAGCATTCCTGAGCAGAATGTTTTTCTCTCACAAATTTTTTTAGAAAATACTCACAGATAGGCTAAGAGGCAGCGCTTGTTCCTTTGTATGGCCGCATGTCTGAGTTGGATGGCAGCAAAAACATCAGCTTGGCCAGCTGCATAGTGCCTGTTAAGAGTATGAGAAATACCAATGAGACCGAATCAATAAAAATATACTCCTTTATATACAAAATTGATTATATTAAGTGCTTCTACAAAATATGCTGATAAATTCTAGTTGTTCAGTAAGAGTACAGAGACACATATATATAATATAATATATCAATACAACAGCAGCCATTTGTTCAAAAGGAAGAACGCAAGACAGAAAAAACAAAGGAGGCAAACAGGACCTACCGGTGAAACTCCACCATCTGCTCACACAAAATAAGCCCATCTGGTTACCGTCCAAACACTTCAGTTAATATCATACGGGCAGCTGCTTTCAATTGAAAATTATTGACTTTGAACGAGAAAAATGTCATCCTTTCTACTTTTATTTCCTTCATGTAGCCCTGTTTATGGTTTATCTTTGGGCATTTTCCCCTGCATTAAAGACAAAATGACACTTAAAAGCCAAAAGATCTGAGCTAGCGTGTGTGCTCTTGGCCCGTTCACACAAAGACAGCACTAGCACACGCAATAGAAGTGAATGGTGAGGAAAATCCAGCAGTCATACCCACGGAGTTGAAGTGCTTGGGTCGTGTACTCATGTACTGTAAACTCAAAGAGAGTTTCAAGAACATTCACATCTTTGTTTAGACCGACATATATATAAATTAATACACACCATGATAAAACCTTGCCAGGACTAAGTGAGATCAAAAATGATGTGACAACCATAGAATGAACTAAGCAATCAAAATCAGAATTACAAAACGAGATGATGCCCTTTTAATAATGAGATGTCATCAAAGCAATGCAAGAGGCATTCCATAAAACTTTTTTTCCCTTTATCATGCTTACGCTCTATCCCTGTTCTGGTCGTACAGATTCTGCATCTCCTCAAGAACTTGACGTATTTTGTCCTCCTGAAATGATGAAAAAGTGGTATTGAAAGAAAGTAGGGGTCACTACTTCAGTCAATCCAGTGCTTTAAAATATAGGTTTGTATCATGAATGAAAAGTTATTTAATTTAATATATTTAGCTAAGAACAAAATTCCAGTATACCCTTTACCCTACACATCTCTTTCAATCCAAGCAAGTTATGATTTCACATTACTTAAGTTTGCAACTCTATCACTCATACACCCTGAGGTGCAACTTCAAGAAATTAAGAGGGCCTCCGCCCATCCCACCCCTTTTCGACATATATATTTCTAATACAGCCATAACAGTCTCAAGCCTGTATAGTTGGGCAGTTGGGAATTACAGATGAGAGTAGAATTGTCAATCAGAGGAGAGGGTTTAGCAGTTTAGGGGGCAGGCTCTTCATCTTCATACTTCATCTTTTAACATATCAATTCATTGTAATTATACCACTACTTAACTTACATTATATGGAGAGAGGGTGCCACTCAGCGTACGTTGAAGTTCACGAATCAAATCCAAGGCTTTTTCTGCCAACATGCTGCTGTATTGTTCTCTTGTGAAGTTCTCTACTGAGCCGGCACCGGAGACTTCTCACTCTAGTACTAGCTAGAGTAAAATGGAAAAGAGCTTTCCCGGTAAAAGCACAATCAGTCTTGTTGATGTGTGCCCTAACCTGCAATGCAGAAGCATAATTAATGCCCATTGAAACTGGTGTGTCTGATGTTTAAGTATCACCATACAGGGGCATCAGGCGCATGTCAATTTTTGGGCATGGAGTTATGGATATCATATTTTAAAAATGTTGTTCATTTGTCTTGCTTTGGAAGAAAAATACTCATCTTTCTTGAAAAGTCAATATATTTGAGATCGAAAGAGGTGGGGGTCGGCTGCTGTCAAAGGCAAAATTAGCAAAATAATAGCAGGCTGCTTCTTAATGCCCAGGAACATGCCAGATAGGGTTGCGCACTGAAGCAGACCAAATTTGTGCAGTCCGTTTCA